TCTGCATGCTTTGATGCACACGGGAGTCCTTGCTAAGTCTCTGATGCTATGCTGTTTGAGCTTTCTGGCCGCCAGAACTATGGAGCAAGTCAATCTGTTTTCTTTATAAAGGACCCAGCCTGAGGCATTTTACTACAGGAGCATGAGCTGCAGAATGTATATAATTTAAAAACTGTTCATTTCCCTCCTTTCCCAGTCATTTTTAAATTTTTTCTCCTTAGTTTATTGAGGTGGAAGGTAAATTCATCTTTGTCTGCTTAATCATTAATGGATCTGTGATACATTTGGCCAAAATTGCAGCTTGGAAATTTATTTCCTCTCCCACTCTACTCCCCAGAACATTTCTTCAATGCCCCAGTTAATTTTGCAATAGCTTCTTGTTTTCTGATCCTAATTATTTTTGTTTCCTGATAGATGTTGCATATTTTATCTTAGAATGTTAACATCTTAAAGTAATATGAGGTAACAAGTTATTAGAATTGAATCAGACCTTATTTCATAATGATGACATTTTTAAGGAAATAATTAACTGCCATAAGACTATAACAAGCCAGCTACTACATAATATCCTTTAATTTCTGCCCATCCACATTTTTTGTGGATTACTAAAGGTAATTGGATGTTGGTTAACATACATCGATTGGCGCTGAGTCAGACTCGGAGATTTAAGTTTGGAATGCGACGATTTTAGTCTATGTCAGTAAACAATTAGCTGAACATTTGAACTGCGACATGAAATACCAAATACAGCTGAGGTGCAAACACCAATATATATATTTAATAATCTACATATATATATATTTTTTTTTAAGACGCTTGGTGTATCACAGGTGAAGAAGCAGCTGTTGGTTTAGAAGATATTTTAGATGATACAAGATCAACAAGATCTTTCTTGCTCCAAACTGTTTCCTATGGGAACAAGACACTTTACTGTCACCTGCTGGAACAGAATTGCAATACATTATCCATCATGCAAACTCTGCAGTGAAGGCATAACACAAGAAACAAAACTTTCAAGTAATAAAGACATTTGTGACAAAAGCAGCACCTGCTTGGGTATAGTGCTCTTGTGCAGTGCCCAACATAAATAACTGTTCATGGCAACACTGGAAAACCACCCACGGATGGGGCAGATGTGGAGGACTGGCTCATGACAAGGCAGATGACGTGAGAAAGCTTTTAATAGGGAGACCCACAGGCAACAGCAGCAAGACTTGGGAATTAGGCTGGGGTTGATCTATCTAAAAGGATAGTTTGGGGTCAAACTAGGGCAGCAGATCAAGGTAATAAGTATTGTGGGAAGATGTGGGATGGAGGCCTGGAGACCCAAGTTCTATCCTGCACACAGGGTGCCCTGGGGAAAGGCCTTCCCCTGCCCAAAGCTTCCGAACTGTCTGGATGGAGGGAGGATAATTGTCACTCGGTCCGCACTTGGCTGCCTTCTGCTCTCTCTGGGCTCAGAGAACTGAAAAGCTCCAGGTCCCCAGGACCTGGGGTCCGGTGTTGTCCCTGAGGGTTTTGGTCCCAGGCCACCGGTGGTGGTAGCTCGGGGAACTCGGCCTCGTCCTGGCCTCCTGCACAGGTGTGAGGACCCAGTGGGCCCCCCAGTCTCCCTGGGCTCGGGGCCACTCCTGTCCGCCCACGGTCTTGAGTTCCCTTCCTCCCCGAAGGCCCTGCTGCCCGGCCATTCTCTGCTTTCTCCCACTGAGTCCTCCGCTTCCCTCACGTCCAGGGCGGGCCCTCTCCTGCTGCAACTTATTCCTGCCACTTCCCCTCAACCCCAGGACCCTTTCCCCTGCCTCTCTCCCACCCCAGCGCTCCTTCCGACACCTCCCTAGCCCCTCCCTCCACTTCCTGTCCTCTCCCCCCGCCATTGAGTCCCCCTCTTTCCCTCTGTGCCCCTTCCTCTCCCTTCTTCCCTAAATCTACCTGACTTCCCATTGCCTGGAGTTGCCAGACAAAATACACGCTAATTTAAAATTGAATCTCTTATAAATGATACTTTCTTTTTGGGGGGTGGGAAGACAAGGTATTGCTATTGAGTCAGGCTGGCCTTGGACCTTACCGTGTAGCCTAGGTTGGCTTCAAACTCACAGCAGTCTCCTGCCTCAGTTTCCCAAATGCTAAGGGTATAGGCACCTACCACCACAGCCAGCACAAAAGTTATCTGCAGTGTCCTCAAGGAGACCAGCAGATAACAGATAACTTTTAGAAGTATGCACTGAATATTTTGTGGCGCTTTGTACTTTTTTGGGGGGCTGGTTGTAGGGCTCAGTGGCAGAACACATGCTTAGCATTTCTTAGCATCTGTGCAATTCCCAGCACAAAAAATGGTGTTTACATTCACATTTTATGAGGTAGCCTGCAGTTTTATTTGCTACACCAGGTGACTCCGCCTGGCCTCTAGCCCCCCCCCCCCATGTGCCCTCTGCCCAGGCTGGTCTCCTTGAGGACACTGCAGCTCTCAGACAGGCAATCCAGCATCCCCACGCCCTGCCCAGTTTACCTGGTCCTGGACTTGGGTACCTGGGCCTCCCCACAACCTAGTAACAGGGTTAGCACCAGGCAGCACGTGGGACCCTCAGGGCCTTACTCCAGCTGCATTGCCAGTATCAGTTCTATTTGGCTGGTGGCTACCGAAGTCTGATGTAATTTATAAAGAAAAAGAGGTTTACTTGGCTTATAGTTTGGGGCATTTTTTTTTCTTTCTCTTTTTCTTTTTGTGACAGGGTCTCCCTACACAGTTCAGACTGGCCTTGAACTCACTATGGAACCCAGGCTGGTCTTGAACTCATGGCAATCCTCCCGCCTCAGCTTTCTGAGTGCTAGGATTGCAGGTGTGCACCACCATGCCCAACAATTTTTCAATCTACTACCCCCACTAGTTTAATCTTGATATGTTCTTTGTAGAACTCAGGTGAAATAGATGAGGATACAACAGGGGCAAACCACTTTTTCCCTTCAAGTTTATAGTAATGGTACAATTCCCTGCAACTCCTACAACAGTATTGAATTTCGAGGGTTTCCTGTTCTCATGTATATTGGATGACTAGTTCATGTTAGGAAACTATCAGATGATAAAGTTTATCTACACCGAGTATCTGGTTTCTGTGCTGGGAATTGCATAGATGCTAATAACCTCAGGGAAATAACCTCAGGAGGGATTCATGGAGCCACTGACCCTGCTGTGAAACAAACGTGGCCCAAACCTGGGTCACAATCAAACCTGCGGTCACATCACGAGGTCTGCTTCTGGGCCTCTCTGAGAGGCAGATCTCTCAGCTTTTGTTCCCCACAGGAAAAATCCTGAGAAGAAGTTTGTGTTTCCATTTCCTTGAGGACGACAATTCCAGGAAGCAGGAGAGAGTGGAAAGTAGTGGAAGGAGGAGAGCGGGAGGGTGTGTTTGCAGTTACCTTAAAGAGTGGGCTGCTGCTTGCTGTCATGAGTGTCACCTGAGAGAAGTACTGCAAGTTGAGGCAAAGCCTGGCCCACCTAAGATACCGTTTCAGTATTTAAAAAGAGCCGAGGATGTCTGTGCAAAGGTCCTGGGTTCAATTGTCAGTGCCACAAAAAGTATGACTAATCGCTTGATTTTGCATTTCAGGACCACCTGCCTGCGGGAAAGGGTAATGAATTTAGCCACCGGCTTCCACTGTTACCAGGGAACCAGGTCCAGGCTCCTGGTATCCCAAAGGATTGAGCAGGACCCTCTAAGGAAGACTTATTAAAAGCAAAGCGCACTCCCCAGGGAGGCAGGGGCCAATGAACAGAGCTCGAGGCCCCAGAAGGGGCAGGCACTGTGTCTTAAGGTCCTGAGATTATCAGAAGCCCCAGACAGTCGGGCATCAACAGGAGCCGTGGCCCAACGGGGTACTTGACTCAGCCCACCCGTCAGGAGCGCAAGTTTCTGACCCCAAGGTTCCCAGAGGATGCGCCATGGCACCCAAAGCCCACAGAAGGGTTTTGGAGGTTGGGTAGGTGTGCGTGGGGTCAAAACCACAATGCAAATAAAGTTGGATGAAGGCCGGAATCATGGACGTTTGGTTTCGCCCGTGTTTGGTTTGCTTGGCGACAGGATGATCTGTACCTGTGGTTTCCTGACGCGTGGACACAGCTGTCCGCGCTGTGTCTGGTTCCCCGATTTTCACCCCCAGCCTCTTGTTCTTTGCTGGCGCGTGCTCCATCTCCTGGCCCGTTATTGTTCGGGAGCGCGCACTCTGCTGCACACAGGGAGCGTGTGACGGGGAGCAGGCCGGGCTCCCTGCCCGCCGTCCAGGGGTCAGCACCAGCCGGGAGCCGCAGGGCGCGAGGAGAGCGGGGAGCAGGCTGAGGTCCGCGCTGCAGGAGCAGCAGGGCGAATGCACACAGCAGCTGCTGCAGGTCCTTCTAGCTGAAGAACCTTTTCTCTTTCTGGTACTCTTTTCCGTGCTTCCTGTTACTCGCGGCTTTCCCTCTTCAGTGACCACCTGAGATGTGGATCACTTCCAATGAGCAGCGAGCCGCGCGTTCAGCTGCTGTTCTGTTTCTCTGACCCGGGCAGGGCCGGCATCACACCCACCCTCTGGGTCTAGGCTGTTCCCTCTTCTAATTTTCCCAGCCGGCCGCTCTCTAAGTCTGTTTTTACTTCTGCCTCATTGTGAACAAGCGGGTCGCTTACGCGTTGTACCAAACACATCTAACACCCGACCATCTTTGTGACCTACTCTGTCTGCTGTGTTTGTTCCTGTGCTCCGTGATGGCTTCTTTTCCTGTGCTAAATGTGGGGTTAGCGCAGTGCTCCAGAAGTTTTAATTTGCTTTTTATTAGTGTGTCTCTGCAGTGCATAATGTCTACATTCCTGGAGAAGAGTTGGTGCATACACACATTAATTCCCTTTTTTAGCCTTTTCTTTTCCCTCCCCAGCCTCTCCCATCTCTTGATCCGCTTTCCGTTTGAGAAAGACCTATCTCCATACTTCATGTGATTTATCTTTTATTCTGCTCCTTGTTTAAAGTTTGGATTTCTTTTTTAAAAATTTTTTTATTTTAAAGAGATTAAGACAAAAGAGGACATAACAAAGCAGATCAGAACAGAACAGTGTAAGCATTTTACCACAAGACAACCCGATGTTAACAGCAGCTACCATAATGTCCCTTTCTTTGAAATAGTTGAGCATACCTTCACGTACAATAGTATCAAACATAACAAAATAGTATAAAACCATTCAAGAGAATGGAAGTGTGACAGGGCATTCAGGACAAATAACAGAAAATGAACAATGGCTAGTATATTATCTCATAGTCCATAAAAGATTTGTTTATACTATCACACATAATATAATCCATAAGATACAACATAATAGAACCAATGGAAACAGAAGAACAGAAGCATGATACGGTTTCAAAGCAAGACGATATTAAATCAGTACTGGCTATTATAATGTCTTGTTTTCTTCAAAATAGCTGTTAATACCATCACAGATAATAAAATCAAACAAACCAGGACAAAACCATTCCAACTAATGAATGAAAATATTTGGATTTCTTATATAAGAAACTTAGATGTTATTTAAGTGCATGTCTGACTTTACTTAACATTATGGTTTCAAACTGCATGTATTTTCATACAAATGACTCAAGTTTATCTTTCTTCGTACCCAAGTATGCTCCACTGTGTGCAAAAATGTTTTCTTTATTCACGTATCTATTGACGGAAGCACAGTTCACTTCCAAGACTTAGCTATTATGACTTGTGCTGCTGTAAACATGGGTACGGATGTATCACTACAACGTAACGTCTTTAACTGATCTGGGAAGAGACTTATAAGAGGGACAGTTGAGTCAAATAGAATTCCTAGTTTTAGTGTTTTGAGGACTCCTCATACTGATTTCAATATTAGCAGCACGAGTTTACGTTCCCACCAACGCTGGAGACGGGTTCCTGTTCCCCCAGTCTTTCCGGCATTAGTTACTATTTGATTTCTTGATCCTGGTCATTCTTTCAGGGCTAAGGTGGAATCTCAGCATGGTTTTAATTTGCATTTCTCGAATAGCCAGTGATGCTGAGCCTTTCCTCAGGTATCTCTGGGCCACTCTGGTCTTCCTTCCGTGTTTATTGGTCTAGTCACTTTGTTTGCCTATTTTTCATTGGGTCTTTGAACTTGGAAGGCGTCTAATCTTTACTGGATGTTAGCCTTCTGCCTGAGGAGTAGCTGGCAATTCTTCCCATTCTGTAGGTGCCTGTTTCTTTTGCTGTGCAGAGCTTTTTGATTTGATATGACCCCACTGCTGATTTTCAGCACTATCTCCTGTGCACCCCGGGTTCTGTTCAGAAAGCTCCTGCTCTGCTTCTGACCTCGAGAGTTTTACCTATGTCATCTGCCAGCAGGTTAAATATTTCTGTTTTAACATTTAGTTCATGGATCCACTTTGACTTTAATTTAGTACAGGGTGAAAGATAAAGGTATAGACTCAATCTTCTACATGTGGATGGCCAGTTTTTCCAGCACCATCTATTAAAAAGGCTGTCTTTCTTCTAATGTGTGTTTTTTGCCTCTTTGCCATAGATCAAACAATTGACTTGCTTGGGGTTAATGCTGCATCTGTTTTTCTGTTCCATTAACCCTCATGTCCGTTTTATTGCTGTTTTTATCACTGGAGCTTTGTAGTAGGACTTCAAGTCTGGGATTATGATTTGCTTTTGTCACCGAGGATTGCTTTGCTATTGTGGGCCTATTCTGGATTTTAGGACTGTGTTCTCTAGTTCTGTGAACTTCTGTGAAGAATGCTGTTGGAATTTTGATTGAGATTGTGTTAAATGTGTGTATCAATTTTGTAAGTGAAAGGCTTTTGGCCCAGACAGGACACTGTAGCCAGAAAAGCCTCAACCGGAAGCAGGAAGCCCCTATCTCCCCTGCTCCTAGGAAATTACCTGTGACGCCATCTTCCCGCCCCTGGAAATTTACCTATGGTGCCAAACCTAGGACCAGTGGGCTACCTGTGCATCCCTAATGCCCGCCTTAGGTTCCACCCCAAACCGAGGCTACTTACATACCCCCACGCCACGTGTCCGCCAGAGAGATCGCTGCTCGCCAGCGGTGGGGGTGCCGGTCATCTCTCTCCGTGTTCTCAGAATAAAGGCTGCTTTTTATTTTATACTTCTCATCTTTTGGAAATATTTTTCATCTTTTGGAAATAATCCTAGCAGTAAGTATAGCCATTTGACTGTTGATTCTGCCTATCCAGGAGAGGCGATATCTTTCCATTTTCTGAGGTCTTCTTCAATTTCCTCTTTCAGGGGGCTGGGGATTTAGCTCAGCAGCATAAGCACCTGCCATGCAAGCAGGCAGTCGTGAGTTCGATCCCCGGTACCAATAAAAAACAAAAACAAAACAAAACAATTTCATCTTTCAGAGGACTGTAGGTTTTCTTGTAGAGGTCTTTCACATCCTTTGTTAGGTTAATTCCTGAGTACTTAATTTTTCTCGGTGTATTGTAAATGGCATTTCCTTCTCAGTGGGCTCACTGTTGGTGTGCAGGAATACTACTGATTTTGTATCCTCCTTTGCTCAGTTTGGTAATTTATTCTAGGACTACCTTGGTGTATTTTTTATCTTCTACATAGATCATGACACTGCAAATAATGGTAACTCCACTTCTTCCTTTCCTATACATCTCCCTTCTATTTCTCTTCTTGCCTGCTTCTCCTGCTACCGTTTTCAGCACTATGTTGAGTTGAACACAGGTGGTGACAGTGGGATCCTTGTCTTGTTCCTGATTTTAGAGGGAAGACTTTCAGTTTCCCCTCACTTCACACGATGTTGGCAGTTCACACTGGCAACAGTGACTTTTATCAGGATGAGATCAAGTCCTTCTACATCTATTTTCTCCCATGTTTTTATTATGAAAGGACGGTGAATTTTGTCAAAAGTTTTCCTGCATCTATTGAGATGATCATATGATACCTGTCTTTGCTTGTTTGTGTGAGGCATTACACTAATTGATTGGTATATATCAAACCATCCCTTGGATCCTTGGGATAAAGCTTACTTGGTCATGATGTGTGATCCTTTTGATGGTTCACTGCATTCTATTTGCCAATATCTTCTTGAGGCTTTTGTATCTATGCTCATTAAAGAAGTTGGTTTATCATTCTCTTTTTTTGGTTTGATCCTTGTCTGGCTTTGGAATCAGGTTAGTAGTAGCTCCCAGGAATGATTTGGGGAGTGCTCCTTTCCTTTATATTTCCTTAAAGATCTTGAAGAGTATTGGTGTGAGAACTTCCACAAAGTTTTTGCAGAGTTCAGCAGCGTCTTGGGACTGGCAGTATCAAGACCACCTGGTAACTTCTTGCACTGCAGCTTCTGAGAACTTGCAGGAAAAGCAAATTTTGACCTACTAAAGTAGAAACTCTGGACTTGGGGCTCTCAAATCTGTTTTAACAGACCTTGCAAATGATTCTGATGCTTGCTTAAGGCCAAGAATCACTGGAGTAAAGCATCACCATGGTGGCAGCATCTTCTATGTCATCCTGTCCTGATGCAACACTCCTGGTGATGTTGGTGGAGATACATGTGGGAGAGCTGAAGGATTTGAGGAAAGAATCCCCTCTTCATCCTGCCTTAGGAGGGAGAGAACCCTACTTTAATTGGATATTCAAATTCTGACAGTGTAATTTGCTTTCAGGAAGTATTTTAATCCATAGCAGTGAAATAAGTATATTAATAAAATGGATTTAAAGGAGCAGAGAAAAAGAATATACAGTGTATTTTTTCTCTGAGTCCTTTCACAACCTAACAACTGTATCTGACTTAAATTGCAAATCAGTGTATTAGTTCTCCCCGTCAAGGGCGGCTGGGGCTAGGTCAGATGCATGGCTATTCAAAGCCAGCACTACCTTGAGTTTTCTGGGAAACAACTGAGATAACAAAGGCACATTTGACATATCTGCAATATAGTCCAAAGTTTCACTTTAGTGTTTGACCTTGGTGTGACTTTTAAGTGTAAAACTCAGTTTGAACATGGCTGGACCCTATGGCCAGTGCCTTGCGCTATTAGTTGACCTCAGCAGCTACCAATTCTTGCTCTCTGGCTTGGTCTGCAGGCCCTGTTTCCTTGTTCCTGGTCTATCTAGCTGGTTACTACTTCTCCTAGACCCACTTTGTTAAAAGGTTTGTTCCAGGAATGGCTGTTGGGTGTTAAAGGCCTGTTTTACTTACGGGGAAATAATCATGACCTTTTCTTTACCATTTTTGGTGGGTCATATTATCTATAGATTTCTTGATGTTAAAGCAACTTTGCATTCCTAAAATAACTTCAATTTGGATTTAATATTTTCTTTAAAAAAGACATTTTGGGCCGAGGATATAGCTCAGGGACACAGCATCTGCCTGGCAAGGGCAAGGTCATGAGTTCAATTCCCAGTTCCCCAAAATTCAATAAATAAAAAAGATTTTTTAAGAATAGTTTCTAAAAAAAAAAAGAATGGTTTCTGGCCCACGGCAAAATCTAGCTGATGGTGCTAATAATTCCCATGTACCACTGCCCCCCATACGTATAGCTTTCCCCCATTATAAACATCTTACGCCAGCATGGTAAGTTTGTTACAATTAGTAAATTTACACTAATACCATTATCAGCCAGAGTCCTTTTGGTAAGGGTCACTGCCATGCATATCCCATGTGTTAGGAGAAATGTATGACACGCATCCACCAGTGCAGCATCAAACACAGTAATTTAACTAAAAAGTCCTCTGTGTTCTGCCTACTCACACCTTTCCCTCTAACCTCTGGCCACCACTTATCCTTTTTACTATTTCCATATTTTGCCTTTTCCAGAATGTGAGGCCTTTGCAGATTAGCTTCTTTCATTTAGTAACATGCGTTTGAAACCACTGTGTCTCTGCATGCTTTGCTAGCTCATTTCTTTTTCAGTGCTGAACAATGTTCCATTGTATGGACATACCACATCACTTCTGCATTCACCTATTGAAGGACATCTTAGTTGCTTTCAAGTTTTGGCAACTTTGTTTGTATTTTATGGCCCTGAAGTGATTTACCTTGGTGAATCTTCCATGTGAGCTTGAGAAGAATGGACCTTCTGTTGTGGTTGTACAGTCATAGGTGTCCATTGTATCCAGTTGATGGATGGTGCTGCTGATTTCAACCATGTCTGTGCTGATTTTCCTCCTGCTGACTCCTTCCCTGTCTGACATAGGGTTGTTAAATTCTCCAGTGATAACAGTGGATGAGTCTATTTCTCCTTGTAGTTCTATCAGCTTTGGCCTCATATATTTTGAATTTTGTTGTGAGGGGCACACATGCTAAGTATGTTCATGTCTTCCTGGAGAAATAACCCTTTATCATTACATAATGTCTTTCTTGATAACTTGCTCCAAAGTCCTTTCTTGTCTGGAATTAATAAAACTGCTCCCAATCTGTTTTGATAACATGGGATATTTGTCTTTATCAATTTTCTTTTAAATTATCTTCATATTTTTTTTCAGTACCGGGGATCGAATTCATGACTGCCTGCTTGCAAGGCAGGTTCTTATGCCACTGAGCTAAATCCCCAGCCCATTATCTTTATATTTATAGTGAATTTCTTTGAGACAACATATGGGTGAGGTTGTTCTGTTTTATTTTGTTTTAATTTTGGGTACTGGGGATTGAACCTAAAGCCTTTAGACTGAACTACATGCCAGCCTATTTTATTTTTAATTTTGAGACAAGGTCTGGCTAAGTCACTGAATTGCACAGGCTGGGTTTGAACTTGAGATATTCCTGCTTCAGCCTCCCAGGGAGCTGGGACTATAGACATGTACCACCACACTTGGCTTAAGTCTTTTGTTTTTAAAAAGATTTCTAACAATGCACTTTTTCATTGGTGCATTTAGATCACTGACATTTAAAATGATTACTGATTTAGTCTGATTACTATGTATCACATTCATTACCTTTTTATTTCTTTTTGAGACAGATTCCCACTATGTAGTTCAGGCTGGTTTTGAACTCACCGTGTAGCCCAGATTGGACTTAAATTCAAAGCAGTTCTCCTGCCTCAGCCTCTCAAGTGCTGGAATTGTAGGCATGTGACACTATGCCTGGCTTCATGACAATTTTTAAATTTTTTACTTGTAGTCAGGTTTACAAGGGAATAGATTTAATATATCACACATAATTTATAGGATTATTTTATAATAATCACCCAAAGAGTCAAAGGCAGAAGAGTGCAGGAAATGTGCCCTTATAGTATAAGCCCAAAGAGTCCATCTGAGGGCTTGGATCCCATGGCAATGTCCTACAAAAGCCCAACTGAAGACCTAAAGTCCATGGCAAAGTCCTCCACAAATCTAACCGGAGGCCTAGAGACCATGACCATGTCTCCTGCATGTCCACATTAAGGATGTGCTCTGGGAAGGCCAAAAGGGCCTTGTGCACCCAGAACTCTGCTGATTCAGTTCAGCTGAGTGTTACAAGTTGGCCGTTATGTAATCCACCACATCGACCTTGTTCTTCTTTCCTATTTTTGTCTTCCACTTTCTTTTTCTGTCTTTGCGGTTTTGGGCATTTTAAACCATTTGACTTCTGTTACTTAGCATATCAGTGATACATCTTTTATTTACCCTTACTTTTTAAAGTATTTACCCTAATGGCCAGGCTTGGTGGTATATGCCTGTAATTATAGCATTAAGAGGCTGAGGCAGGAGGACTGCTGTGAGTTCGAGGCTACCCTGAACTGCACAGTGAGACCTTGTCTCACAAAGACAAAAATAAGTTTGCCCTACAGTTTGCAATACATGCTTACAATTAATCCAAGTCCACTTTCAAATAACACACCACCACTTGATGGACAGTGGTTTGTTTTATTTGTACCAAGGATCAAACTCACGACCTTTTGCTTGCCAGGCAGGCACTTGTGCCACTGAGCTAAATCCCCAGCTAGCTCATGTATTTTACAATAATAATCTAACCATAATTCCTCCCACTCATCTCCTGTATTGCTGTTTTCATTCACCTCTTACATATAGAAATGATATAGATATACATAATTGAGTACTTTGCTATTATTTTGAAGAAACATCAGATCAATTAAGAATTAAAAAATAAAATTTTATTTTACTTACACTTAGTTTATTTCCTTATGTGGATTCAAGTTTATTGCCATAAAATTCTTTTGCTCTATAGAACTTATTTGACTGTTTCTTACAAGTAGGTGTACTGAAAACAAATACATTTGTTGTCTGAGAAAGCTTTCTTTTTCTCTTTGTATCATAATTTCTTCATGTGCAGAATTGTAAATTTTTTCCTTCTCAACTCTATTTCATTTCAATCTCTTTTAGCTTCAGAAAAAGTAGATGTAATTTTTATCTTTCAGCACCTTTTCCTTTATTTTTGATTTTCACTGCCATCTTTTCAAATATTTCTTTTAAATACTTTTCTCTTTTTCTTCCCATTCTGGTATTTCCATTACACTTGTCACACTTTTGTCGTTGTTCTTTTGAGGCATTTTCATTATAAAGTTCAGGCTGACCTTGAACTTACTACGTGGACAGGCTGGTCTCAAATTCATGGCAATCCTCCTGCCTCAGCCTCCTGAGTGGTGGGATTACAGGCATGTGCCAGCATGCCTAGCTTTGTTACACCTTTTGTAGTGTTCAAGGTTTTTGGCTAGCCCCTTCCCCTTCCCCCATCTCTCCAGTGTCTCTTTTTTAGTTTTGCAAGTTTCTATTGAGATACCCTAAACTTCAGAAATTCTTTCCTGTTATGTTGAATCTATTAATTCGCTCCTCAGTGGCAGCCTTCATATCTGTTACTGTGGCTTTTTAAATTGGTTATGTTTATTGATACATTTTAGGTATACACAATGACCACAGTCATCTTAGGGAGTTTGTACCTGTACGTGATAGACCTCGATTCTTTTACCCTCCGCTTGTCTCCTCTGACCCCCCTTCTCACCTTTACAAAGGCTTGTTTCTATTGTTTTCTTCTTGTTTTTCTCCCTCTCTTTTCCCCTCCCCTTGTTAGCTCCCCTTTCCATTTGAATATTTCCTTCGTTTAATCATTTTTAAATTTTTATTTAAACAAAGTAGTAGGTCCATGCTAAAAAGTTTAGAATGGGGTGCAGCTGAATAGGTGGAATAACTTCCAATGCTCTACAGAACAAGAAGACTATCGTTAACAGCAATAAATGACATATTTCAAAATAGTTGAGAGGATTTTGTGTTCCCAAAATAATGATAAATTGTCTGAAGCGATACACATGCCAATCACTCTGACCTGATGATTCCACATTGTACATGTATTAAAATGTCACACTGTATCCCATGAATGTGTACAATTACTGTGTGAAAATTAAAAATAAAAATGTAGGGTCAGGGATATGAGCCAGTGGCATAAGCACCTGCCTAGCAAGCACAAGGTCCTGAGTTCGATTTCCAGTACAAAAAACAAAAACAAAAACAACCACATTGTAGGACTGAGGATTTAGCTTAGTGGCGCAAGCGCTAGCCTGGCAAGCACGAGGTCATGAGGTTGATCCCTGGTGGAAAACAAAAAAACACTGTGGCAAAAATAAAAATGTTTTTAAAAACAGGCAAATACACTAATGGAAAAGATAATTCTATTACTAAATTAGAAGAAGAAAGTTTGAAACACTATATCCAGATGTTACCCTCTACAGAGATGCTATGCTACCCGTGGGCCAAATGTGTCCAAAACCTAGCACATGCTTACACTCGCCTCTGACCCTGCTGACCGCTGCAACTTGCTCTTCTCCTTCCTCTCAACATTGCGGGGAGACACTAACACCCACACAATGTGTCAGGCTAGAATTTAAAGTCTAGAATCCAAAAATAAATAAATAAATAAATAAATAAAGTCTAGAATCCTTTACATGGCCCACAATGCTCCCCATCTCCTCTCCAGATCCCCAGCTCCTCCTCATGCCATCACATCTGAGTTTAGTGTCCCTCACCTCTCTGTGTCTCCTCCCTCCCATTTGCTCCGTTGGAGACAGGGTATTGATACACTCAACAGCACTGAACTCTGTTCCGTCTGGAGGATCCTGGCTTAGAAATACCAGCTCAAGACAGTTATGATTCTGGGAAGCACTTTCTTCAAAGACAAAGCCTTCCAGAGAAATATAGCATCACCTGGAGGGATGTTACCCTGCAAGAGCGGCACCAGGGTCTGGTGTGTAGCCTGAGTCCGCGGATAGCAGGCAGCCCCGCCACAGGCTGGGCCCAGCCCCGGTGCTGACACCAGGCCAGCTGGACCATGCAGGCTGAAACCCGGAGCCAGGCCAAGGATGACAACAAGAAAGTGATGGTGACCATCAAGAAGGTCCGACAACGGGAGAAGCACTGAGTGACGGTGGGCGATACTTCCCTTAGTATCTTCAAGGGGTGCCCATGATGGACCCCTAAAAGGAGGTGCGACAGCTGGCAGTGACAGAGCAGAGATCCTGTGGCCAAGAGAGGTGTGGCAGGGGCACCAGTCCCCGAGCAGGTAGTCCTCAACTCTGCAAGATCTCAATGATGAGAACAGCAATCAGCATTCCCATTCTGAAGGCTCCCTGCAGAAGGGCACTGAGCCCAGCACTGGGGCACCCCACAGCCCAGACACCCTGTGTCACCTGCTGGACCCTCAGAAAGGGCCACAGAGGAGGCTCAGCCCCCACCACTGGACCAAGAGAGAACCCACAGTCATACTCGCTGGCAGGACTGATGAACCTGCCATGCTGACCAAGGAGAAGCCTGTCCCAGAATTGCTGGAAGCCGAGGCCCCTGACGCTTATACCTTCTTTGAGCCATGCCACCTATCCCTGAGGCAGCCCAGGGTGACACAGAAGATTCAGAGGGCATTTGCCCAAATGCTCCTGATCCCTGAGAAGCTGGCCTGCCTGTCCCATCATTGCAGGGCCCCATGGCATCAAAAGATCAAAGAGCCTCACGAACTCCACGTCCTCCTCCTCCATCTTCTTGCCTCTCGCCCTGCTCACTCCTGCCCCACTTCCCCTCTTGGACCTCACCCAGACCCTCCAGTTGCAGCACTCCGACTAGCCCAGGCTCTTCAGCCAGCCCAGCACTTTCGGAAAGCTGGGCACTGAACACTTTTTTTCTATTTCACAATATCGATTATGTGCTGTGTTCCTTATTTATACTTTTGTTTCTCACACCAGAGAAACAACGTGATGTACACATACGTTTGTTTCTGTTTTTGAAACAGGGTCTCACTATGCAGTTCAGGCTGGCCTTGAACTCAGTGATCCTTCTTCCTTCCTCAGCTGTGCTGAGATTACAGGTGTGCACCACCACACCCTGCTGTTACAGTGTTTTTGATCAATTTCCACCCCTCTGCTTGTTCTAAATTCCTGGTTGGATAATTCTAATGTTCCTGACATCCATGCATCCAGTTCTGATACTGGGTCTGTCTACTCAAAAGTGTGTTTTTCCTTGTGGTACAACATGTACATTTTTTTAAGCTTTTTTTTTTTTTTTTTTTTTTCTTTATCAGTACCAGGGATCGAATTCACGACCGCCTGCTTGCAAGGCAGGTGCTTATGCCGCTGAGCTAAATCCCCAGCCCCCAACATGTACATTTTTATAGACAGCTAGACATGATGCACTGGGTGAAAACAATTGCTGTAGTAGGCCTTTAAAAGTGGGGTGGTAAGGTAAGGGGAAGGGAAATTGTTTTTACTCAAGACTTGGTCTCAGCACTTTCGTGAGCGCCTGCCACTGCCCGCTTGTGACCCTCACTGATTTGAGCATATGTCACAATAGAAGCCCTCCCCTCTCATCAAAACAAAACCAAAAAACTTTAGCGTTCCTTGGAAATGGAATTCTTCTTAAATAATACTAGAACTAAAAGAGGAAGATGGAAGAGAAAGAGGGAAGCAGGGAGGGAAAGAGAAAGGGGAACATACCTTCTGTTTCCCAGCAGATTCCTCCCAAATCCCGTTATGCACAAAGCGCTTTCGTTCTTAATCTCACCCACCCACGCGCAGTTTGTCACAACGATGGAGAAACACTCCCAAGGTCACGAGCATGGGTCTCTCACTCGGCGGGCCGTTTCACACAGACCCAGGCCACTTCGGGTGCACGGGAGCTCGAATGCCCCACATTCCACGTTATCGTGCAAACTCATCACAGTTCACCCTGCCCGTAAGACACACCCTCGGTCAATCATGCGCCTAAGATTCACTCACATTCCTCCACTAAACATGCCACTCGCCGTCACCCACACACTCCGGCCCGGACCAAGCCTGACACTCCAGTTCTCACCGACAGGTAGATTCAGCGAGCCTATTTCGCCCATTCCTCGCTCACACTGTCACAACATCAACTTCTTAGACCACTCCTGTCCACTTCGAGGGCTCCCCAGTTCCCACCCCAAATGCCGGCTTTGGTTGGAGTTAAAAAGTGCGGTGACCCGCAAGTCCTCTTCAAGCCACACTGTATTAGCAGCAGAGAGCCAGCACCTTGAGGATGCAGCCGAGGCGCGCAAAGACTCATGGTCATTCGACCCGGTGGCTTGTGGGAAATGTAGTCCAGCCTCGGAAAAGCCTTCGAGAAGGAAACTCAGGTACCAGAGGCGACACCTCCCGGGGTTTTCTGGGAATTGTAGGCTGGTCCGCGTGGTGTCCAAGTTTTCGCCCGGAGGATCATTGCGCTCTAGGAGGAAAGGTGTTATCTCTGGTAGCTCCTGAGGTGGCACTGGGAACACAGTTGGTGCTTTATGTGACTCTATATGACAGTGACAGCCCTTTGGCAGGTTGATGTCCCTAGATCGATGCCGTAGTATAGTGAACTCAGTTCCTACCAGCAGATTTAAATAATAACTCACCATTTTAAAAACTGCTTGAAGGGCTGTAGCATACTCAGTGGTAGGTGCTATATCAGTCAAGGCTTTATTAGAGAAACAGATATAACACAAGATACACACATGTATAAGAAATTACAAGATTGGCTCACAGTGGTCAGCCCAGAGGCTGTCTGTGCACTGAAGACTGAAGGTTTCAGTCCAAGGTCTGGAGTTCACTGCAGTGTTCCCTGCAAGCCTGTATCAGGAGCCCGATGGGTCTGTGAATGAGGTCTGGCGCGTCTACACTGGAAGGCTGAAGGATCCAAGATGGTTAGCTTCAACGTCCGCGCTAGCAGTCCAGAGATGATGTTGAAGCTAAGGGCGAAGACTGGAGCTCCTCGGAAGAAGGAAGAACTTCCTGCAGCCTACAGTCTTTCCTCATTTCCTTTTTATACCGTTGAGGTGGGTCCTCTACACCTGAGAGTGTAGAATTGCTGAGCTGATTTAGTTGAGTGTCTAAATTTCTCAGGTCCACACACATCAACTACTACAAGTGCCTGGCATGCACAAGGCCCTGGGTTTGATCTCCTCACGTGTAGTCTGAGTAGTCACGTGTGATCAGCATCACACGCATGTGCAGCATTAAATCTAACATGAAATGAAACAGAAATGGACTGAAGTGAACTGGACAAATAGCAAAGTGATACGTGCAGTTTGATCCCATTGGTGTATCTTTATGCATACAGAGTACAGAAAAATCTGAAAGAATTCCTAAAAGTGTTAACTTTGGTCTCTTCTGTAGAGAGAGAATGCATAGGGGCACACTTTTGTTTCTAACGTTATTTAGTATCTGTTGTTTAAATATTTAAAATTTCAACAATATTACAAAACTATATTTTTATTAGTGATTTTTTAAGGTTTTATCCTGCCTTATATTTTCTCAGACATTTTTCTTGAAACACAGAATCACTTGAATTGAAAAGACCTCACTTATTACTGTTTTATATCCTCACTGAAAAGTATTACAAAAAGTAATTCAGTGACTAAATAGTAAAACAAAAATTGCCACATCAGAAAATGTGAAATAGGTTTGATCAATTTATAATGCCAGAATAGTATTTTTCTGAGTAGTCTTATTTCATTTTGTAGTTACAGAGTGTCAGAGGTCCATCACCGAGCTAGATCAGAACTGTCCTTTGGTGAGGATGGTGGTGGCCGGGGAGGCGCAGGTGGTAAAGGTTGGCATGGTGCCTACTGTGTACAGAGCTCAACTGTCCCTATTGCGTGAACATCTGATGTGCGACATGTGTGACAGGGATGGGGTGCGTGGTCTTACTCTCAGCTGTGTGCTTAAGGCTACCTCGAGGCTGTCTTTGAGCCGGCCAGAGTTACATGACCCCAAGGGAGAATTCTCCATTAACCCTAGGCCTATTTGTTGTTTGAGTTGGTGGAGGAGTACTGGAGATCAAACTCCTGACCCCGCTCTTGCCAGCCAGGTGCTTATGCCGCTGCGCTAGATCCCCGGCCCCAAGATGAGAATTCTAGAGCTGAAAGTGTCCTCCTGATGAACTCCTGGGAAGACAAGAGAAGGAGGGTCTAGAGATGGGATTCCTAGAAAAGGTGACTCTAGGAGCTCTTTAGGCGCTAGATACGTGTTTTAGAGTCACTGCAACCAGCTCACTATTCCTGAGAATTGCTATCAACTCAGAGACAGACTCCAGCTACCTTTTAATTGTGTGGATGAAGACAGATATGGCCCTAGGTGTTTTTGGTTTTGTTTTGTTTCTTTTACAATCAAGTCTTTGAACTCAGAAATGTTGGGTCTCCTAAATTCCCCTGGTGTTGCCAGATTTCTAAGAGGACCTGGAGGAGGAGGAAAGAATTTATGCCTATTTGGAATCAAGGATCCGCTAAGATGGTTTCTTTTTCATTCATACAATTTTTCTTCTAGGTCATGAGAACATCTACTTTCCTTGGCTTTAGATATTGTGACTCTTGATCTGTCTGGGTTTTATTTCTGGTGAGTGCCCTGCATGGTGGTGCATCTTTCTCCCCCGAGGCTACTTGTTGTCCTTGTCCTGCACTATTAGTCACCTGTTATCTGTCAAAATTTTCACATTCTCTACTGCATTGTGTTGTAAAAATACACCTCCTGGAGATTCATGTTGGAGCTTTATTTTAGACTGTGATCACTTGAGGAGACTAATTATTTAAGTGGTATTGTGTACAAACTTTAAAAACAAATCTTTCCCACATTCTTGACTTTTAAGCAAGGCAAAGTGTAAGTTTCAAAGGAAGCCAAGAGCGACAGAAATGGGATTAACCATTGGTTTTTTTTTTTTGTTTGTTTGTTTTGGGTTTTTTTGGTACCAAGAATCAAACTCACAGCCTTGTACGTTCCAGGCAGGCGCTTACGCTGCTGAGCTATATCCATGGCAGAAATGGGATTGAGTTTTTCTGTGCAGGGATTTTTGTTTTCACCCGTAAGAGTAGGAGCTTTGAGATAATCTGTAGGTATAAGTCTGTAATATTGCCAAGCAGGAATTGTTTTGGGTCTGGCTTTGTATGGCTTGTGAGCAGCAACACTGTGTTGTGGTAAAAAAATCTGAACCCAGAAAATCTGTATGTAAATCTTAGCCCTGCTTTTGTTAGCTGAGAAGGCTTCTGGACAGGAATTCAGACTCTTAATCTATTCCCCTGTTTGGGGCTATTTTTGGAGAACGGTTGGCTGGTTTTGTGCCACCTCTGTAAAACTAATACAAAATAACATCTAACTAAACGGGATTGTAATGCTGTCATATAAATTAATATGTATAAAGCTCTTTAGAATGGAGCCCACCCCATAATATGGGCTTATTGAATATCAAGGGTTGCTGTGGTGGTGTGCACACCTGTGATGCCACTCCTCTGGGAGGCTGGGATCACAAGTTAGGCCTGGGAACTTAGTAATATAATGAGACCCCCTTAGAATAAACAAAAAGGCTGGAGATGTAGCACAGTGTGGAGCCCTGTGTTCAATCCCCAGTACCACAAAAGGAGAAAAAACACAGTTGTAGTTATGTAATGATTCTGTTTGTTGTGGTCTTTTTTGAGACAGTGTCTCACTCACTGTGCAGTCCAGGCTGGCCTTAAACTCACTTTGTAGCCCAGGCAGCCCTCAAACTTGCAGTGATCCTCCTGCCTCGGCCACTGAGTGCTGGGATTGCAGGTGTGGGCCACCATACCTGGCTAAATGTTCCACTTTTAACTGGGACATCTGTAACTTCTTATGATTGTCAAGTGCACTTAAACAACATCTGCCTGTATTGGTCTAGAACAAACACTGTGATACAAAATTCACATCTGGGGGCTGGGGATTTAGCTCAGCGGCATAAGCACCTGCCTTGCAAGCAGGCGGTCGTGAGTTCGATCCCTAGTACTGATAAAAAGTTTTTAAAAAAAAGAGCAAACAAAATTCACGTCTGGATATATGAAAATAGCACAGTTCAGTGTATCTTGTGATAGGATAATGTACACCTAGTAAAATTATTTTTCTAAAGAATCAAAAGAAGGGAAATTGAAAAGGTGAAATATTAAGTGATCATTATAGTTAAGGGCAAAAGCAGGCAAGAATATGTTACAGAGGATTTGGCTCAGTGGCACAGGTATCTGCCTGGCAAACGCAAGGCCATGAGTTGAATCACCAGTACCTAAAATAAATAAATAAAATAAAAAATTTTAAAAAGTGTGTGTTACATATGAATTCTACTCGATTATGCAGGATTTCAAAACCTTGAAGAAATGGAGATGGGGAGCCATGCGTATACGAAGCATGTGCCGTGTACCGAACGCTGTCCTGTGTACACAGTATTTTCTTCCCCAGACCTTGTAGCTGCCCTGATGTCATGTTGGCTAGAGGAGAATCTCGACAGTGAGGATGACTTAGTGTATTTCTGTTTGACAGCTACAGCATGACCAAGAACTGATAGGTAGACTTTGTTTCGGGTCCTGCTGATTTTCAGTATTAGTCCTGTGAGTTCTGTGTTCATAACAGCTGAAGCATATGCTCCCATCGTATGGTTCTTTTATATGTTGATGTGTCTTTGTGTTGCTTATTATACGGTTAATGCAGGCCTGGCCCAAAAAAAAAATTTAGTGGTCCAGAAGACATATAGAGAAAGAAGTTAAAATTACACATCTAATTATAATTGCATTTTGGTGTCTTTTCATTCAAAGATTCTTCCCATGTGAGATTCCATGCTTTTGTTTCAGTAGAATAAAATCATAATAATTCATAATATAAATGGGTTGAAGGCTAAGTCTTAGTTTGAAAAAAGAAATCCAACCCACATCTTGAATATGTAGAGAGAAGAGAGAAGTGTTCAGATTTTGTGCCTCAGCCTCCTGAGTTTTGGGATTACAGGAATGTGCCATCAACTTGGAACGCACCTCTCTTCTCTCATACTGGGGATAAATCCCAGGAATACTGTACCAGTGAGCTATGCTCCCAAAACCCCCCACTTTTTTTTTATACGGCATTCAAAACTCAGGACCTTGCACTTTCCAGGGAGGTGCTTATCCTGCTGAGCTATATCCCCCGCCCTCCTCTCTTTTTAAAAAAGCAAAGAAACTTTTTAAACATCTTTTTTGGTTTTGTTTCTATTTTTTGTCTTTTTGAGACAGAGTTTTCCTTGTAGCTATGTCTGGCTTTGAACTCACTGTGTAGCCCTTGAA